ACTGAAATAACCACATGAAAACTGTATTAATTAAATCACTGCTTAGACCATTAGCTCCAGCTTCTTAATGACTAACTCTTACATATTAATTTACCCATTTCTATTAATCTGTGTATCCCCACTTGACTGTGGCCTACCAGGAAAAGTTCCGACATTTATCTCTGGTGGGGCTACATGGCTTCTCTCTTGCTCCTCCCTGCTTTCTCTCAGCATTCAGTTTAGTTTTCCCTACATCACCTGCCCTTTTCTGTTTAAATAAAAAGAAGGTTTTAACTTTTTCATAGTAAAATTACATATAACAAAACAGGTATCAAACAGGTATTATAGTTAAAATATTTATATCTACTTTATTTTTTATCATAGCTAAGGAAAAGTTTAACTATAATTATAAATTCTTTAACTCCATCAAAGACTTCAGAAGGATATAATTTTTACCTCATTAAACAGGAAGTACATTATAAGTAACTTCTAAAACTCTAGAATTGACAGAGACATCTCATTGCCTGGACAGTCACCCAAAGTTCTTTTGTACCATTGTGGCATCCATCTTCAGCCTACAGACTGAATATGAAGCAGGAAATTTCTTCTTCTATGAAGCAGGAAATTTCAAAGATAGGTCTGCCTATTTTGGCAGTTTATCAGTCACTTTTTTGTGTGTTCTGCAGAATGTCTGGCAGACTTTTTCATAAAACAGAAACCCTGAAGGACCATCTCACCTTTAGGCAAGTTAGCAATCATTTCTTTGCAGGTCTTGCATGTCCAGTTCATCAAGCAGTCCAGGAAAGAGCAGTTTCTTGGCCAAATGGCTAACCAACTCCATAAGGAGGCTCTTCAATGCCCACCTTTCTCTTGAGGTTGATTGGTGCCGCCAGGAACAGATGCGTCCCATTGTCATGAAAAATCCTAAATTCTTAAACATTTTAAATGCCATACTCTGTAGTCTTTGAAAGGTTTGAAGAATGCCTATCCATCTGAAATATATCTCTAGAAAATCTAACTAACATGACTACAAGCTTGACTATTATAGATGATTATTCATTATATTATATTTTTAAATGAGCTGCACAAACCCAATACCTTAATCAAGAGCAGAAATATACATATAACAAAATTGACCTTAAATTTGTATACATAAACCAACATTCATACCCACGCAAATCTCTACCGCATATCCCCCTTTAAATGTAAATAAATATTTATAGACAATATTTGGGAATATGGGCATAGTTCTGTCCAAACTTCTTCCTGCTGTTTATTGGGCAAAGTAAATTTTTGAGGTGTGTTCAAGGCAATTTTTCAGAGGGTCTTAATCCATTAAATCACATTAGTCTGAAAAGATTCCGCAGGTTCTCATCCTCTGTAGAAACGAAAGAAGAACCTATTTTCCAAAGCAACATATCCTTAGACTCAAATTCTGAAGTCAGGATAACTTTAAAGTATATCTGTTGGTTACTTAGCTCTTTCACAGTCAAAAAGTTCAAAGAAAATACAATAATATACATTATATATACAATAATACCCAGACTCTCTGTGAATTTTCCATCTTTACATGGCATGTTTTTCTTTAGTCTTTTTAATCTATGACTGTCTGTACTCTGTCTCTTTAAAGACTTTATTTTATCTTTTAAAAAAACATTTACTTCTGTTTAAAACACTCTGTAGTCTTTCTTCTCTCTCCCAAGCCTACGTACATTTATCCAACACTGTGACCCATTTAGAGGTCTTTTATGTCTGAATCTGTCCTATTGGATGAAATTTGTAGTATGGAGGGAGCTGCTTGTTTGTCCCTGCCACCCTGAACCAAAATAACCACATAGAAACTGTATTAATTAAATCACTGCTTGGCCCATTAGCTCTAGCTTCTTGTTGGTTAACTCTTACATATGAATTTAACCAATTTCTATTAATCTTTGTATCGCCACACAGCTGTGACTTACTGGGAAAAGTTTTGACATCTGTCTTTGGCGGGACTACATGGCTTCTCTCTTGCTCTGCCCTTCTTTCTCCCAGATTTCGGTTTAGTTTTCCTGCCTACCTAACTTCTGCCCTGCTATAAGTCCAAAGTAGTTTTTTAATTCATTAATGGTATTCACAGCATAAGAGGGAAATCCTACATCACATATATGTATGTAATAACAATTAATGAGAAAAAAAGAAGCCATGAATTTGAAGGAGATCAGGAAGGAGTATATTAAAGGATTTGGAGGGAGAAAGAGAAGGGAGGAATATTGCTATTAAATCACAACCTTAAAAAAACAACAAAAAAAAACCCTCTGGGTTTGAACTGAAGAATAAAAAACAGTAAGGAAAATCAAAATAGAAAAGTCAGGATAGGCTTCTAGGAAAGAAGTTTGAAACCTTTTTTTTTCTTAATCTGTTAACAAAGAAGTATATCTAATAGGAGGATTGAATCCAAAGTCAGCCAGCTCAAGGGCAAAAGTTAATACACTCTATGTAATTGAACTGACAGTTTCTGAAACAAAGGTGTTGAAAGACAAACCCGAGTTTGAATCATTTATCTCTCGCAGAACTAATTCACTAAAACCACCCCAGACACCGGTACCTGTCATGCCACCCCACTGATTAATGATAGCAAAACTAAGTGGAAAGAGAATCCGCAATGCAGCTATCAATCAAATGCAGAGATGGTAATATCCACACAGTGCAGTATTCGACTCTAGCACCGTCCATGGAGACCTACTGAGCAGCTGAACACTTTCAGGGCAGAGGAGCAAAGGGTCAGTCAGCCTGAGGGCTCAGAGAAATGTGGCATTTACTGAGCACCCACAGTGAGCTAAAGCCTCTTCTGTGTGTGCAGAACTTCCATCTTCATGCATTATAGACTGACAAAGACATCTTTCTGCAATGGCTATCTGTCTCTTGCACCAATCAATGGGGTGAATAATGTCTTTTAAATACTTTAGGCACCCAAATCATTCTGCTTCTTCCAGAAGAGTGTAAGTTGTTTGTATTTACTAGCTTTTGTATTTGACAATATGCATTATTTATTATTTCCCCAAACTGTGTTTTATGTTGGTCAAAACAGTAAGCCCAGAATTTCCATATCAACCCTATCCCCTCAATTTTAATCCCAGTTGGCTCCATGAGAAATGAAGACGAAATGACCCCTCATCTCACTCCTAATATATATTTTCCCCAGAGAGTTAGTCACTGCCTGGCATATCATATACGTACTGACTAATTTGTCTTCTTCCTCTAAAACGTTACTCTACTGAGTATGGAATTTGTATTTATTCTGTTCCTAATAATCAGCCTACAATGTATTTAATATAGTGAGCAATCGATGAAAATTGTTAAAACAAGAATCAAAATTAAAAATAGTCTACTACACAATGCAGCTATACGATTCCAGGCTATTTTTTCCGAAGGATTCTAGGTCAATATACCAGGGAGATATTTGCATGTCAATGTTTGTTGCAGTCTTATTCTCAATTGCTAAGCTGTAGAATCAACCTAGGAACTCAACAACAAAGGAATGGATAAAAAAAAGGGTATGTATGCACAATGGAATTTTACTAGGCATAAGGAAGATGAAAGTTATATTATTTGCAGGAAAAAAGACTGTCAGAGGCCAGCTTTGACAAAAATGCCACTTACCAGGGTTGGGACATAGGGATTAGAAAAACAGTAAGGAATGCGAAGACACAAGTGAAAATAATAAAAACAGAAACATAGGATAGTACAGGGAGGGAGCTCCAGTGAATACTGAAGTAGGCTGCATTTAATTTCTATTTGCTTAAAATACCCTGACTCCAAAAGGTAGGAATAAGATTTTTTAAAAAATGCATTAACATGATACAAGGAAATGAACATTCCAGTTGAATGTTGTGGGCTACATTCTTAGTTAAACATTCTGTTGCTAGAACAAGACAAGTAACCTCACACCCTAGACCAAAACATTCTGTAGGCAAACCACTCACTGGGTGGAATCCACAGTTATCTCCCTAAGTGAGTAGGAACTTATTAGGATCCTTAGACTTTTGTTTGGGATATAAACGTATTTACTTCTCTATTGCTGAAAGAGAAGGGCTGGCTATTAGCCACACCTGTTGACAATAACCTTGAGCGAGTAGAACTCTCTGATCTAAATCTAGGTGGGAAATCTGTTTGAGGTAGAAGCAGACAACAACCTTGAGGGAACAGAAGTAAATTCCAACTCTCTGACCTTTGGTCAGGGTGGACTGGCAACAACTGTGAGCAAGCTAAAACTCTGACCTTCAGACAAGGTAGAAATAAGCTCACATTTCTGGGCCTCCACAACACACACAACACACACAACTGAAGATACTCATGAAATGAGTTAAGCTAGTCTTGGAATGATAAATATCATGTTTTCTATCATTTGTGATCTCAATGAATGAATGTATGTGTGTCACATATGATACATAAAAATAGAAGTAATATATGATATCATATATATTATTCATAAATATATATATGATCATAAAAATAGAAGTGAACCTGTATAGGGGAACAAAAGGGACTAACGTCAGGAGGAGACATGAGAAGTGGGAGGAGAGGAACATGGGGGAAGATGTTTAACACATAACACATATTTCTATGAAAATGTTCATGTCAGACTTTAAGACAATTCTGAAGCCATTTCTGACAATTCCAAACCCTCTCAGCCTCTGTGCCTCAGTGCTTCCCTTCCTCCCCTGGGAACCAAGGACCTAACAGCTACACATGCACGTACTCAGTTCCTGAACAATTATCCATACGCGTATGTTTTGACTCAGTCCCCTGGGAAATGGGGTCAAAATGACCTCTTACCTCATCTGATCTGACAATAGTTCTCCAGTCAATTATTGGTATTAGCCCTTTTCGAATAAGCCAATCATAATGGTCAAGGAACAACCCCTCTTGTTTCTATGGGGCCTTCTCCTTTAAAAGTAGACTGTACCAGTTAGTTGGGGTCTCTCGGCTTCCCGAATGCTGAGGGACCCTGTCATGACAGAATTAATAAAATCCTCATGCTTTTGCATCGGCTGTGGTATATGAGGTGGTCTCTGGGGGCGACTCCTTCTCGGTTTGGACACTAGAGTCCAACATTCACTTATGCAAATACAACAACTTGATTTTCCACTTCTATTTAGCTCATAACAAGACATAATAAACTCTAATTTCCCCCTAGTTTTCTGCAAGTTTATTACTTTCAACCTCACTTGGCACTACTTTATAGACAGGATTTTTTTTTATGTGCATATAAAAGAAACTGACCTTAGTTAATTAAAGAAGATAATAGAAATTATTCTAAGGTTGCTGGGAATTTCACATACATTCTCAAATGGCTTGAAAAGTATATTTATGAATGCTTCAGCCATAACCAACTCCCAGAATCAAACCCTAGAATTTATTAAGCGAAGCTATCTGGTCTGCTAACACCAGACACCATAGCATACTAGGGAACCCTTATGATTAGACTCTGCTGCTGGAGACATGGACACTATTGTCTTTGGGAAAGGGTTGCTACACCACTCATGAGTATTCAAATATATTTTCAGATGCCCAGTGGGCAGAGTAGGTGAACCTGATCCTTAACCTAACTCCAGGCCCTCATAGTAAGTGTGTGGAAAGATGAACAGTTAGCACATCATCTCAAGGAAAACATTTCCCAGAGAATGGGTTCTTAGGCTTGCATAGGAAATAAAACTTTAAAATATAATTTTGCATCTCTGCTTCAGTGAGGCTTAGTGAGAAATGGCTGGCATTAGCTGTAGCTTCAGCTTGTCCATTTCCTTCACTTCCAACTGACTGCCCTCCTCCAGGCTCCCTAACCCTATTTGCTGCTTCCCTTCCTTCACTAACTAGTCTTTCTTTCAATTTTTTTAACATATGCATTTATTACCTTCTCCATTTCCCATTCTAGGTTAGCTATGTAAGTTTCTCAATGACAAAAAAAAAGACATGAAACTTCTGCTACACAAAATTGTACAAAGGGATGGGAGCCAGGTATTTCAACATCTAAAGCTAGTACTTGAAAAATTCCTCAAAACATAATGTATTCAATAGGCTTCCTCTTGGCAAAGTATTTTATCTAACTTTTCATGTATTCATGCCTATTCTCTCCAACTATAATTATTCCAAATTGTTAATTATGTTTAATAGTACATTTCCTCCAAAGCAGTAAACACATGCAGCACAGACACGCACACACACAGCAACAGACACACACACACATACAGACAGAGACATGGACACACTCACATTCTGAATTGACTTCCCAAATTATAAATTATAATTATAAGCTAAAATGAGAGGTAATAGCATTTATGCTAGAAGAGTAAATGCAAGAGTGTGGGAGTACAGAGCATGTCCCTCGGTAAATTTAAAGCAAGTCTTGTGAGAGCCTTCACCAGTGATTTTTGCTGTGAACTGGTGCTTTGGTGCCTCCAAAATTTGTATATTGGTTCTTATCTTGAACCAATGGTGTAGCTTGGTGCTTGCATAGCATATACAAGACTCAGAATGGTACATTTAGTCTATTTTGTTAAAACAACAACAACAAAAAAAACACAAAAAAACAGTCCATAGTTGTACATGTTAATCTGCGGACTCTGATTGGTTAAGCATAAGCTTCTCTTTGTTTGTTTTATTTGGGGGAAGCAGGGTTCCTCTATGTAACCTTGGCTGTCCTGGAACTTGCTCTGTAGATCCAGCTGGCCTCAAACTCAAAGATCCACCTGTGATGATACTTTATGTTTTAACAAATAAAGCTTACCTGAGGATCAGAGTGCAGAGCTAGCTACACTAGCTAGCCATGGTTGCCAGGCAGTGAGGGCACACGCCTTTAATCCCAGCACTTGAGAGGCGGATGGGTCTGTTAGTTCAAGGTCACCTTGGGCTACACAAAAATAGTCTAAAAGAGAAGCAGAAGTCACACAAAGTGATTCCAGTATTTGGGACACCATGCCTTTAATCCCAACACTAGGGAGGTGGAGACAGGAGTGGTATGGCTGGGTGGAGAGAGAAACATAAGGCAGAAGGAGATGGGAGCTCAGTGCAGTCAGTCTGAAGCAGTGTGAGAAGGCAGTCGGTCTGAGAACATAGTTCAAGGAAGCAGGCTGAGGACAAGTTCGTCCTTTTGGTCTCAGCACTGGTAGAGGTAAGAACTCTAGAGCTGGCTGACCTACCTCTCTGACCGTTCAGCTCTCACCCCCCTGATAGCTGACTCCGAGATTTTATTATTAAAACCAAACAGAATTCACGCTACATCCACCTGCCTCTGACTCTGTGTACCACTGTCCCTGGCCAAGTTTCCTTTTCCTTTAATTTGGGCATTTCCAAGAAATAATCCATGCTAAGCTTTGCTTGTGTCAAAGTCAAGGAAGGTCAAGTCCATCCATGCAGTCCTTCTTCACACTGTCCATCTTAGCGCTGTCTGCTGGGGACAAGGATCCCTTGACCTTCTGCCCTGGGAGGATACACCAGGAAGGTGGCCATCAATGAGCTAGCACAGGACTTCTCTGTAGGTAACAAACATGCCGGTGTTGTGACCGTGACCTTCTCCATCTCCAGAGCTGGGAGGACAAATCTCCACTGTGTATGATGCTCTCTGTCACTTCAGTCTGAACGCACTAAGATGACTTTATTCTATCTTAAGCTGACCTCAGAGACTGCGCTAGGCATCATGACACCAAACAGAACATCACAATTAGTAGCTCAGACAAAATTTTCACCTACGGAAACTAGGTCACTTCACAGACAAACAAACAGTAGTATTTGCGAAGGTCAGGGTAGATGCAAAAGCATACTAGATTTCCTATACATGTTACCCACAAAAAAAAAGAATCAAGCCACTAAAACCAGCTCGAGTTAATTAAAATGCAGTGATAAATATATTTAAAGTGTGCATTATTTTTAAGCCACCATAGCCATGAAGGCTATTCCAACTAGCCTTAAGTAACTTCCTAAAGTATAATTTTATCGTTTCACTCTTTCCCTCAGATTTCTCACTGACTCTCAAAATAGAACCCAGCTCTACAGAAATGGAGATAGCATGTGAATGCTAGTAAACAAAGCCTGATTCAGTTCACCCAGCAGTCCCTCCTCCACTTGCCCAGTGCTAGAGAATGGAGTTTTTCCTGCTGTCATTACCACATATTAAACAGTCTATCCTTCTAGCAGAAGAGGAAACCCTGCCTCCCAATTCTCCTCCCACGCGATGACCCTAACAAGTCCTGCAGCTTCTCAAAGTTCATTTACCACATTTGCAAGATGACGAACGGAGACACTAGGTTTTCCAGCGCTGAAAGATTGCCATCATTGGGTCGCCAGTCCCCTTGTCCGTGTTCTCCCCACCCCCTGCTGGTTCTTTCCATTTGGCTCCATTAGTCAAAGTCGCTGGCCAAAGGAGAAAAAACCACAAGCTGTCCAGCTGCAAATTCTGAATCAGGTAAGCAAAAAAATAATCTAGTTACTCAGCATTTGCATAACGTGTTACCTCTTCAAGCTGTATTTGGCCGTTAATCAACACGAAACGCCATCGTAGACAGTAAGAAACAGCGGCGTGGGAAACTGACATCGACAGAATTTTTTCACTAGGTCAAAAGCAGAACAAAAGGGAGAGACATTAAAATCGGGGATGTGTGGCTACACTTAGGCAATCACAAGACGTATTTTGGAGGAGTGTAGGCGAAACACCTTGGAAGGTGACAGTGAAGTCTGTCTTAGACCCATCCCTGTGTCTGGGTCCTTCCCCCTCTGTATTCCCCTCACTGTGGGAGGACTGCAGCTGGAGACTGTCTTCCTCCCATGAGGGGGCCTGATATGGGCCTTGCTTTGACATTCCCATAGGCCCCTTCCCTATTATGATTGCATTCAACCTGCCCTGCTCATTCACTGTGCAAGTCAATGTTTCCCTTAACCTTCAAATAAACCAAGAGTTAAAATCTGTCTGTCTTGCCTTCCACACTCATTGTCTATCTGGTCTCTGTTCTTTCGCCAACTCTCCTCCTCTTTACCCAGAAAGACACTTCGAAGCATCCTCCCTCCTTTTCTCTGTTCCTCCTGGGACTCTGCTCACCCCTCCTAGGCCTACCATTTCCATTTCTGTCTCCACCTGCTCCCCCAACTCCATTCTATTGTGTTCTGACAAATTTCAGCCTTTCCTAGGCCTGATGTTTCATCTTGAATGAGTGAGACTCCTTTGGGAAATCACAAAAACCTATCAGCTTTGACCTAACATCTCCGGACCCCATCTTCTTCCCCTCATTTAAATTTCAACACATTAGAGGTGACATTAACTGATGACTGAACTTTAATTTGGGTTAAGGAAAAAAAATTGTGGGATTTCAGGATAAAGTTTTTTATTTTAAATAGTAATAACCAAATAAAATGTTATCTTTGAGGCTGGGGAGATGGGGAGATAGTTCCAGAAAGTACTTATCTTGCAAGAATGAGAACATAAATTCTATTCTAAGATCCAAATTTTTTCAGCTAGTTAAATATTTTTTATTTGTGTGGGCTTGACATGAGGAAGGTAGGGTAAACCTGACCTAAGCTCCCAAATCAGGTGGCTTAGATGCATCTGCACCCAGGGTCATCTCCAGACAGCTAAGACCCATATTTTTTAAAAAAGTGCTGTACCTGTTGGTGCTTGTAATCCTAGCAGCAGTGGTCGGTGAGAACCCTGGAGTTCCCTGGCCAGCCTTGTCTCCTTGACAAGTTCCAGGTCAGAGAGAGAACCTGTCTCAATGAAGAAAGGTAGGCAGCTTCTCAGGAACAACACCCAAGCCCTCTGACACTATGAATGCATACATGTACATAAGTACCAACACACAAACACAACCAATGTACTGAGTATTATACAGATACAAGAGAATCAGATGTGCAAATAATAAAATAATACCTACATGTCTGTTGCAGTAGAGGCATAATTTCAGAGGAAAAAAATACAAAACCAGGTGCCACCATGTCATAGTTCTTTAGAGCATTTATTAGAAGACAGAAAGACTGGATGTTTACGTCACTGCCACTGTGTATTTTAGACTTTTGCAGGACGGAATTCTTCTCTTGATATCTCCATATACTGTGTTTGTGGTAGTAGTCAGTCAATGTTTGCTGAACAAGACCGCGACATTCATTTAGCCCAGTGCCAAGAGAAAGGTTTAAGAGTTACATCTGAACTGAATCTTAAAAGATGAGTTGGAATTTTCCATGAAGATAAAATAATAAACTAGGATTTGTAAAACCGTGGCAGTGTGAAATGGTAATAGCAATAATGACAGGCACCAGAGGTAATATCTAGTATCCCAGGAAGTCTGCTAAGTTCAGTGCTTACATCAGCTGCACATTCCACATAAGCATAATCTTAGAGCTGAAGCAGCCGAGACACGCAATAGTTTATTTAAAATAATAATAGCAACAACATGAACACTACATCTGGGTAGTGAAACACACACACACACATACACACACATATACACACACATACACACACACACATGCACACACACACATACACACACACATACACACACACACACACACACACACACACACACGGGACAGTATGTGTCTATCAGTCAAAGCCCTCAAGTCAGATCACACTGGACAGTCCTTCAAAGTCAAGCCAGCTCCTGAACCAACCCACTTGTCACTACATCATCCCTGTCTCAGCGCCCCTCGGAGTGGACGCCTCTGTCCTCACACCCTCGTGACCACCGTTTTCATGACTCAGCTCTCCTAGCTGATTGCTGTTCCTGGAATCTATCTCATCTTCGATTCTCTCTGCTACAGTTTTTTTCTGGTTTCTGTTTCTAGTACTTTCTCCTCCTGCTGTCTCTGTCTCATTTTCATGCCTCTTGAGAGAAACTTGCAGTAGTAAGGGAATCATCTATAGTCGCCATTTGTGGGTTTAATCAACCCAGCAACCAACTCCTATTTGAGTAGTGTCCTAGTACAGACTAGGGTAGTGAGAGAACACATGAGTCACACGGTCATGAGTGAACCAATGAGCTCTCTCTCTCTCTCTCTCTCTCTCTCTCTCTCTCTCTCTCTCTCCCTGCCAACTTGCCCATGGACCAGTAAGTCATTTGACCTAAGATAAACAAGTTCAGAGACCTCTGCAGCTCAGTGCTTCCAAGAATCAGCAGAAGCAGCAAGCTGAAGTGTTTCTCACCTTGTAGAACATTCTCTGTTCCTCTCCATGCCCCCCGACAGACAGATGCTCCAGGGAGCTCTCTTTGCAGGCTCCTGTAGATATGAGAGCCAGCCATATATCCAATGAGTTTCCCATTGAGGTTAAATTAAATGGATTTGTTTTCTATTGCTTACAAAGAGGAACCCAAACGGAACTACTGTCATTTTGATTCTCACATCTGAGCTGCTTTTGGCGATGGCCTTTACACCTGCTACCTTTGGCCACAGCTCTTATACATAATTCAATACAGTGAAACCAGAGTGGCAAGGCCATGGGACCAAACTCAACGCAGCTTCTATCTACAGACCCACTGTAGCTTCTGAGTTCAGAAAGAGGCAGTTTCTCCTCCTCTCAGAGTCTAGAGCAGTATTTCAGGAGAGCTGGTGTCGTGTTTATATCCTGAGGGGATTAAAATAGTGACCAGCAAGAGCCTAAAGATACCTGAGAAGGAAGCAGGGGTGTAGACAAAGATGGAGACAGACGTGGCAGAGGGATGCATTTGGAAAATAAGAGGCATCCCTTCACCCTCCCCTGGAGAGAAGAGATAAGGCGGTCTCTGTAAAGGTAAGCATTTTCAGTTAACTGAGAGAACAGCGGAGTTATGTAAATAGTCTGTGTCCTCTGGAATGAGAGAGCCAAGGTCGTCTGCTGACTAGAGGGTAGGAGTGAGAAGAGGATTGCTGAGATGACTGAGGTCTTGGAAAAGCTGTCGTGAGAAGCTGGCGAGGAGGGAGACCACTGGTAGCTGGCAGAAGGACCCTCAAGCTGCAGAGGCTACTGCTTCTATTTGCATCGACTAAGAGCAATTAGCCGCACAGGCGCATCTCAGACAAAGGATGCACGAATCGTCCCTGAAACTTTTCCAGAGAAAAATCAGGGACTTGCAAGCGGGAGCTGATTTCACAGTGCAGCAAGAGATTCGGTGTAGCTTTTCAATCTTACGGCTTTGCAACTATTCAGATGGGGCTTCTTAGCTGGTCCAGAAAACTTGGTCCAAAGGAAGCAGGAGATGACTGAAAATTGTTCTTAGAGAATTTTGGATGTTTGTCTGATGTTTGATCTATAATTTTGAGATGAAGTTGTCAACTTTGCATACCAAAAAAATTAGGCAAAAATATCCTTACTGGATGCTTACCAGATAGTATATACTCTGGCAAAAAATAACTACCAGAGCATTTAGAATTGATATTCTAATCTAATATTCCTATCAACAAGTTGTTAAAAGTGATTTTTAAAAGTTATTGTTGATGGAAAATGTAGCGATCAAAACGGCCCTTGTTTTTACTGATGGGAACAATGGAAAGCTTGTGTAACAAGCCTCTCAAGAATAACGCACCCGGTTTGGACACACTGTGTGTGGTTGTGCGCAGGGATGCACACACAATGATTAACTCTTAACACGCCCCATCTGCTGGATCTAGGAAGCAATTGCCTCGATATACCCGTTGTAGACTTCATTGTAGATTGCCAGTTAGACTCAAATACAAATGTGTTTTTGACACATCAGGAAATGAGTAACTGCATCATTTGGCCAGACCCAAAAGAAGACAGCATCTGGACACAATTCAGCATGCAATTTCCGCTTTTGTTGCATTTTAAATGAAAAAAAATGGTTGGCTGAACAGCTACCTATTTAAATCCTGAAAAGCTGGTGCACTCCAAGAAGACTCCAGTCTTATAATCAGACTGGAGGGGGCTATCGTACAGAATATCGAGGATCTGGGTGGAATTCCTGCTGAGACCTAGTGGTTTCAAATCAAGACAAAATGAGTCAAAATAGAAATTAAAATCATTCATCTCTTGCTCTTCGCAAACCCCAAAGCATCACATTCTTCTGGGATGACTCTCAGGGTTTTTATTTGAGACAGTTTACTCTGGGGAGAAAACAAAAACATAATCCCATTTGAAACGTGATGTAACTCATCGCAGCCGCTAGAGGTCAGTCACGACACTGAGGATGAGGAGCTAGTGCTCCGATTACAACCTTAAAATGAAAGCCGCCGGCACGATTTTAAAAGCATGTGCTTGAGCAATACAAAGGAGGAAGAGAAAGAGAAAATGGCATTTTGCTGATCCTATTCATGTAACCTTGATGAGAAACAGCAATAAGCAGGTCACACGAGCCTGCGCACGTTTTCATTTCCAGGAGAGCAGACTCCGGCCCGTGCCATCTGATGACAGTCGGAGGACCGTGATTCAGCATGTAGGATGCAATGAGGTCAGGCTCTCAATCCACTCCGTGATTTCACCTGCCTACGAAATAGCAAAAAGATCACGGCGGCCGGGCAACCGCACCGCACAACAAAACACAAATCACTGCCACCCGACCTTAGGGAACCTTCCACCGAGACTGCATTGGTAGGTTGTCCGTGTGGGTTAGTGTGTGTGTGTGTGTGTGTGTGTGTGTGTGTGTGTGTTCAATATAAGGGACGCTTTCTTAGATTATGAAGTCAAAATGATTCTTTATTTTAAAAATAATCCCCACAGCCCTATTTAACCCACGCTATTTGTGGGAGGTGAGGAAGGAGTGACTCACAAGACCACAAAAAAAAAAAATGCTTGTGAAATCGCAGAGAAATGGTGACAGGCATTGAAGCACTGGCCTCTGAAAACACACGTAATGAACTGGGCTGGGGGAGGGGAAGACACAATCAAGAACTGATTCCAAACACTAGGGAAAAATATCTGATCTAAAGCTAATAAAGAAGGCTAAGCTCCTGAAGCAGGAGCTATTTTCTGTTAGTTCAACGCTCAAATGTTGTGCTTAGCCGTTTTAGGATAGAAATGTCTATGTACTGTGGAGTGCACCAGGAAGCATTTTGGACGTCTGCTATTGCTAGACTCATTGTGGCCATTGAGTTTGCAGATGTTAAAAGTAACCAAAGACTCCTCGGGGACTCCAGGCACATATGTGAAGAAGGACAGAGGTCATACACCCAGCGCTGAACTCTGATGGCCAGTGTCCCTCTTGGAGAAAAGGTTTCTTAGATGCTTTGAGGAACACCCAAGGCTTAGTTCTTCAAAGAAAAATGATTCATCCCAGTTCGATGGCAGGAAAAAGAAATAAGAGAGAAACCTAGCTCTGTGACCATTTCCCCAACAGTCTGTCTAAAACATAGCAGCAATTAATTTATTGAACATATTTTGTCATACTATATTTTTAGAAAAATGCTTCTCACAGGAGTACAGAGAGAAACAAACCACACGATCAAATATTCAGATGTCCTGTCATGAGTCTTTTGACCATATTTTGCTCTAACCTCCTCTCTGAGAATCTATGTGACCTTGGACCTGCTGTTCCTATTCTTTCCATAACTGGGATTTGAATGGGAGCAGCAGAACCAGGAAGGGTGGAAGGATTCATTGGGATCCTTCTCCTTACAGTGAACGACAGCTCCTACAGTTCCTGAAGAGAACCTTCATGGACCACATGCTCCGAACACCAAACACGTTTTCTAGACCTACTTCCGCTGCAGGCAGGGAGCCCAGACTGCACTGTGCAGCCGCCTAGGCACTTGTGCAACACTGAAAGCCCAGATCCTGAAGTGCCTGCAAGTTTTGGATCTGTTGATGCCTGGGTAAAACGGGCAGTTGAATAGATGGCAGAGATTTCCCTCTGAAGCTTGCCTGGTCTTGCCAGAAAGGAGAAGTGCCCTTCCATCATTCCTAATTGTACCTTTTAGACTGTTGTATAATTACTACACGCTCCTGAAGCGGAGCTGTGTCTCACACATCCGAAAACTTTCCAGAACTGTATTGCTCATTTGGAACTCCCTGAAGGGTGACTGCCTGAATGAGGCTGTATGCAATGCTCAGAAAGGAAGGGGCTCACCCCCGCATTTCCCCGGTTATCCTTCACTTGTAACGTACCTCAGTTCCATCCAGAGGTGCAACCCAGAGCTTGCACAAATGTAACTGAAAAATAAACTTGATGTCAGAATAAACAGTGAAATCAAACTCTTGTTTGTTTTTCTCAGAGTTGGGAGGGAGACCTCAAAATTCATTGTGATCACTCAGTAAATAACAGCACCAGTCAGGAAAAACAAGTGTCGGGTGCTTGTGTCCAGGACCCCATCCTCCCTGCTTCCCTCATGTGCTCCTTTCCCTACTCCTTTCCACTTGGTTTTCTTTCTCTCCATTATTTTTTTTTCCGGTTTTTTGAGACAGGGTTTCACCGTAGTTTTAGAACCTTTCCTGAAAATAGCTCTTGTAGACTAGGCTGACCTCGACTCCTGAGTGCCCGGCGGTGGTGGCGGACGCCTTTCTCTCCATTATTATACTTTTAAATAGATAAAATGAAAATATACCAAGTAAGGGGAGTGTGAAGGGACCCAACTGATGTGGGATTTCCCTCAGTAAATGCTCTGACGGTGTTTTATTGCCATTGGTTAATAAAGAAGCTGCTTTCGGCCAAAAGCTTAACAGAAAAAAGCCAGGCAGGAAATCTGAACAGAGATGTGGAGATAGAGTAGGCAGAGTCAGGGAGAAACCATGTAGCCTCGACAGGAGACAGGCACCTCCTCTGGAGTCCATGGAAACTTTGCCATGACTTTGTAGTGATGCACAGATTAATGGAGATGGGTTAGTTTAGGATATAAGAGTTAGCTAGAAATATGCTTAAAATATTGGCCAAACAGTATTGCAAATAATATAGTTTCTGTGTGATTATTTCAGGTCTGAGCAGCCAGAAATGAGCTGACAGCTTCAGTCTACACCCAAAATTCCACAAAAATGACTCAGTGTAATGGAATTACCTTCAGGGTGCAATACCAGTGTGTATGCTTCACTGTGGGGGAAGATGGCAAATTCATAACTTCAGTTGTCGACTATGTATATTTTAAAAGTCAATAAATTTCCGAAAATGTCCTTCTTAGCATACGAAGTAACAGGTTTCTTTATGGCATTCCTTGCATAGTTTCTGTGGACCTCCCCCGTCCTCCTTCATCTCCCTGCCTCTCCATCACCCTTTCCTCCACATATTCCTCCTCCCTTTAAATTTCACTTTTATTCTATTACCCTTCACACTCCTTCCCTCACAGCCCGTTTTTCCATTCTCATGGCCCCTTCCCCGTTCCCTGGCCTCTGCCCACACTCACTCCCACATCAATACATGCTAATAAAATTTAGAAGCTAGGATTCACATATGAGGAAGAACACGTGGTATTTGTCCTACACGATCTTATTCATAACATTTTCTAGTTCCATCCTTTTGCCTGCATATTTCAATTTTCTTTATGGCTGAATGAAATTCCGTTATGTATACATATGTGCCATATTTCATTGTCCAGTCATCTGCTGATGGACACCTAGGCAGATCCATTTCCTTGCTATTGGACTTTATTTCTATAACTCATTTTACCAAAACACAATAGCTTCCCAACCGTATGGATTTTCTAAGGCATTATACATGCTCTTCAAAGCTACCATGATTTTTCTTAATGTCATAGGATCATTTGATTAGTAAAATAAAGGGAGGGAGCTGACAAGGTGACTAAGCAGGTAAAGTCACTAGCTGCCAAGCCTGATGACCTGAGTTCAGTCACCAGGCCCACATAGTAGCAGGAGAAAACTGACTCCACAGGCTGTCCTCTGGCCTCCACTCATAGACTGTGGGACTCTCTCATACATACGTGCGCGTGCACACACACACGCACACACACATGCTCGCAAGCACATACACACACAAGGAGACAAGCATGTGTGCACTCACAGGTGCCAGACTGGTCTACATAGCATTCATGACAGCCAAGGCTACATAAAAAGAGCCTGTCTTAAAAAAAAAAAAAATCAGAATGAAAGGACAGATTGACTCATGATATCTGTGCCCCCAACTTTTTCTCCAAACTATTTTTCCTTTTCACTTGAGGACATTGCTAAGTGACATGCCACTGCCGTTTTCCCGTGGGATATAGCCTGGTGCAGGGCGGGGGTCAGGGTAGTGTAAAGGGAAGGGATGCGGCTTCCAGGCTTGGCACCAACGCCCCCCCCCCCCACCCATAGTTATTCCTCTCTTCGTCTTTTCCACTTGCACTTACTCAACCCTATGAATCCAGAGAAGTTTCTAGAAGCCTAAATTGCTACTTGGAGGTCGATTACCCAGAGAGACTTAACTAACCAGGCTAATGCTACAGTACAAATATTGAACTTAATTTGGGATTTTTTTCCTATGCAAATGTTAAATTTTGAAAATTTGAAGTTATGTTTAACTTTCTTAAATTTTCCAAAAGCCACCCATATTTTTCTTTCTCTTTTAAAATAGAATATACCTAAAATTTCCACCAAAAGTAAGAAAGTTACTCCCAACTAATTTTGGCCTCTGCCAGCCAAATTGCCCAACTGAGGAAACTGGCATTGTTCTAAAGATCTTCATGCGTGGAGTTAAGCTGAAAAGAGAGGGGTCAAGCTCCCTAGTAGTGTGGGTGCACATTGCTGCTGGGTTCTCCCTGCCGTTAACCCAGGCGGCATCACCATGGTGAAGACATTATTCAAATAAAAACGTTAGTAAATACAGGGACTGGAGAGATGGTTCAGGGGTTAAGAGCACTGACTGCTCTTCTGAAGGACCTGGGTTTCATTCCCAGCACCCACATGGCAGCTCACAACCACGTGTAACTTCAGTTCTGAGAACCTGATTCCTTCTCTCAGATAATACATGCAGGCAAAAATACCAGTGCATATAAAATAAAAATAGATATTTTTTTAAAACCCATAAATATAAGCTATGTGCAGGAAACCAACAAGGAGGGTTTTTCTCTAATACATAGGTAGATGGGACTGCGTAGAGAACCACAA